ATATTATATCTATATATAAAAAAATAAAACGGAAAATTTTATATATATATATTTAAAAATCATAGAATTTTACTAGACAAAAAAAATGTGTTACAATATATGTACGTACAGTTCTCGACCGCAATTTGGTGGTCTTTCCATCCGGAATCCAGATTTGAGAAGTTGCAAAATTCTATTTGTGGGAGTTCCAGGATATGGCATGGCACCCAAAGTGACTATTTCCCACAATAGAATGCCAAAAGCCCATCTATATATAATTCAATTTTTATTATAAATACTAGAACAAATAGCACACATATAATATATATATATATATATATATATATATATATATATGTATCATAGTTTAACAATGAGATAAAATACATACACATCGCTATAAGTAGTATATATTTGATGCGTTAAAGCCTCAATTGCCATCCATTTCAAAGGTAATTTGCCATTACCTTTCTTTCGATAAACATTTTCTTGATAGATATCGCGACTGAGACCAAAATCTGAAATTTTCACCACTCTATCCGGTCGCACCAATACATTACGAGCAGCCAAATCACGATGTACTATCCGATTGGAAGATAAAAATTCCTAAACATTTTAATTTTTATGCGAAATAATAAAATTAAGAAAGTAAATATCATGGATTTCAGTATGCGAAATTATTATCTTTTTTATAAAACGTAATTTGTGAGACCACAATTTTAAAAATATAGCGCGTATATATAATTATGAAACAAACATATATAATTATTAATGGATTATTATAATTATTAATAAATTGTTAATATCGACGTAACTTACCATTCCTGTAGCTACTTGTCTAGCGAAATTCAGTAAATCAGCGGAAGTAATATTCTCTGTATATTTTATTACATCTGCCGGAACATTAACAGAAGCATTGTGTTATATACATACGTATGTTATCTGAATATTCAATTAAACACAGTTATCTATGTGATTTACCTTGCTGGATATCATATAAACGATTGGTGATTGTGCGTGTGTTTTCACAGAAAGATTCGCTCTTTCCTATACATATGGTCAAAAAATTTTTGTAAGATAAATATTTTAAATTTTTATTATCTTCATATATAATTTTTATGATATATATGTATACATACTAAAACCTTGATGTGTGCCTTTATTGGCAAGGGATAGTGGTTCGAATTTCAAATGAGTCCTATGTTCGAATACTGCATTTACTAAATTCTGCCAAATCTGAAAACGAGATTCAACAGAACGCTTTTTTTTTTTATATATAAATAACAAAAAGCAAAAGCAACTATTTATTACTTTGAACAAAACCAATGCATCTTTCTATTTTAAAATGTGTTTTTGGACAGCTCACCGTTCTTAAATACGTTTGTAGATCTCCCTTACTGCAGTATTCCACTACTAGTAAAGGTTTATTATACAAAGTGCAGTATCCGATTAAAGATACTATGTTCGGATGCTGACCAGCGGACCTCATCATTGAAATTTCTTGATGAAAGCTTTTTATATCCTCTATCGTTGGATCGTCTGCGTAGTGGAGAGAATAAGATTGTGTTTATCTACATATGTGCTATATTCTGATACTTTTGCATCATTATAATTAAGATTTCTTAAATGTTTTATGTAAATATTTCATCGTATATATATTATATCTTTATATCATGATACCTTTCATCATTTTAACAGCTACATCTGTGACAGCATCGAATTCATCGTGCAACGAGGCAAGTCTGACAATACCATACGCTCCACTACCCAATACACCTTTAAGTTTCAGCTTTTGTGGATTAAGCTCAAATTTATCGTACGGCAAAAGAGTGTCTCCATTCTCGACCGCATAATCTCGCTTTAAAGGTTTCTTTAGAGAATCCATAGAATTCTATTAAATGTGAAAAATCTCTAAGATCTCCGTCTCAGATAATCAGAAAATTATCTCAATAAATATATCAACGTTCAATAAGAGAGATTAATTAAAACAGCAATAAACCTATTTCATAATTCTAATGTTAAATTATTAACTAAGACATATAGTACTCACAATCAGATACAATCGACAACTATATATATTTGGCACTTTTTCAAAAGAGAAATGATTGAATATGTATCTCGAAATTTATTTCAGATATAAAAATTTGAAATAGATTGTATACATAATTTGTCGATCATTGAAACTTACCTCAAAATGCATATATTCCAAATTAATCTGTTTATTCTTCTTGTTACGATGTTGCATACAAATTACTCCAAACACTACCGTAATGATAATCAATGTCGGTAATGCTATGATAATCTCGCGATAATATAACTCTACAATTATTATGTCGCATAATAAATCTCAAGTTTATTCAATTCGAAGTTTATTCAATGTAATCGATTAAAATAATTACCGCGTATTTACCTACTACTTCATCGATGTTACCCGATACAGTTGACTGTAAACTTACACCACCCGTTGATTCCGCCACGATACTGATTTCGAATTGCGGTCCTACTTGGACATTCAAGAAGAAAGCTTCGAGTGCGTCCTATGGAGAAAAATCATTAAAAATTTTAAATTTATATGATTTTCCGATAGAATTATAAGAGAATCGTTACTACTACATAATACTAACTCCAGATACAGTCAATAGATAGGGTTCATATTGAAACGACTCAAACTGTAATGTGTAATTGTCTGGTTGTAAAATGGGTTTGTTCCAGCTGACTGCAATGTCGTATAATCCTTGATGTTTTCGAATATATTCCGCTCGTAAACCCTTCACCTCTTCAGGTGCTACAATGGGAGAAAAAACATTAATTGTACATCTAAATTAGTTCATCTTCGAAATGAGTTTTTATTTTTCCTGGACTGTTTTAATTTGCTTACCGCAGATGCTTAAATTGCGATGAACTTCCAAGCACGCTGGCGTGACGAAGGTAAATATCGTTGCATTACTGATTTTTGAGAAATTATCATTACCCGATCGGATCGATACGGTATTGTTTTCCTCGTATCGTAAGCGTCTGAGAAAAAAGCGGAAATCTAAAGACTAAAAAGATACATGAATAATATTTGATTCAAATATTTGGTAAAATTAAAATAAAAATATTTATATCAATATAAACGTTTTTACCTTTTTTAAATCGAAATTGATCAAGTTATGTTCTCCAGACCAAAATAATATATTATAATTGCAGCTTCGATCTAAAAAATATAATTCACGATGTCTTATGTATGCTTATATATATATATATATATGAAAATACAATAATAAATTATTAGTATCAATATTGTATACCTTCAGCAGGCTCAAAAATAATTTCCGCTTGCAATACGCACACATTTTTACCTTCTTCTTCAATCTTCAAAAGTGAAATATTATCAACTTTGCGTGGTTGATAATCAACTACAAATATTAATCAATTTTAATAAATAAATAAGTCAATAATATTTTGTAAAATAAACACTTTTTGAATATCTAGAATTGTGTAACAATAATGCATCGCGCAAATAAAGATATCGATTCAGAAAATTAATACCTGCATAAGTTGAAAACCAACCCGACATTTCGGCTAATGAAACTCCATATTGTGTTAGCCTGCGTAAACGATAACGATAAAATGTATCCGCTGTCAAATTCGAAAATGTCGATAATCCGCCATTACTCTACGAAAGAAATTTATCTTATAAAGAGAGACAAGATGCTTAAAAAATGCTTTGTAATCCAGAAAATTCATTTCTGTAAAATTTTGTCATATAAATTGATACGACATCCTTCAAATACTATAATATCTTATCCATCATATTATGAGTTTAACTTATCTTGATACTTCATACAAGTATATGTCTTGGAACTCTCGAGATTTAATAATATATCTAAACTATTTAAAAATCGTTCTCTATTACAACTCTTATTTTCCATATATTATCATTACATATCACAACTATCTCTTTTGTCAAAAGTAAAACTTGTAATGTATCAAATAATTGATTAATTAATTATATATATTTAAAAGTCGTAAAAAAAGATTTACCACTATAGGTATACCCCATGTATTAACGGAAATACTTTGTTCAATAACGTAGATCCCAGGAGTGTGTTTAATTATTAGCGAGTTCGTTCCTCTGCAGTGCAAACTAACGTTTGCGCCAGCTTCCTCGTTTATTCCCGGATAAGCTACCGTAAAGTAGTTTTAATGTAATATTCACAAGAGCAAGATATCTGAGATATTTTAAACTGTACAATTATTAATTGTTTTATAATTTTATAATATTATATTTTATTTAACTTACGCTCAAATCCATCCGTAGGTTGTGGACAACTATTTCGGCACGACTCCTGAAAGACGACAAATAATTGACGCGCATTATAACAGGTAGACAAAATTATACCTGTTATGCAGTAATATATGAAGATATTATTTTCCAATTTTGTATATCGCATTTTTCTTTCTCTATTTTCCGGAATATTTATCGAATGACCGATTTAAAGATCATATGTGCCACGATAATAAGCAACGAGATTCTGGCAAATATTCAACGAGATATATTTTTGAACACCGATCGGATGCACCACGAACGATCGTTCTCGGCATTTTGCACACATTCTAAGGTTTTAAATGATACTTAAAATATATCGCAATCCCCTCTCCAAGAAAATGATAACCGGTTGAGGTCTCATTTACATGTCGTGTTTAAAATTGAGATTTACAATTAACGTAGCGCGCGCGCGAGACCGCATTATAATATATTTTAAGTAAATTTAAACGCGGGAGAGACAAGTAAGATGAGAAAATACAGGACGTCGCGATCAGATTACAGAATTCTGCTGTAAGCATTCGTGTGATTTAAGCTGCGTCTGTTTTTCTTTACATACATACACATTGCACATACGAGCGACAGTACATATCAATATGCGATTGTCGTCAACACGACAAACGTCCGTACGCAAATCGAAACTTTTGCAAAACTTTACCTCGTACACGTGTTTAGCGTGCGCACGAAAGAGAAATCTGACGCAGCATCATTGCGTTCGTTATCATCTACAAGTACCATCTAAACGCATGATAAATCGATGCACTATGTCTTTTAATCGAAACTCGAAAAAGATACAAGTTTTTTTAAACACTTTCTCGGAATTGTGAAAAAATGTCTTTGTATATATATATATATATTTTTTTTTTTAAATTCAGTTTACATCACTAATTTTTATCATAAAAAATTGTACAAAGAAAAAGACACTTTTTGATTTTTTAGATTGTCTTCAGTTTTAATTTAGCTCGCACAAGCATGACTTTCCACAAGTGCAAAGGAAACGCGAAAAAGGAGATAAACATGTTTAAAGCAACTTCATACATTATGCAGTCTACTGTCTGTCGCTTTAGTACTTTTCTCTTTCAATATAGTTCAATATATATTTACGATGCAATGTGTTTAACTTGAAACTATTACATTGTTTAGTATATTTCTTAAAAGACCGCAAATTCTTATACTTTATATAATATTACTATTTGTATGTTTATATGCGATCGCGAAATACTGTAGGCAAATATAAAATCATTATATATTATCACAATGACATTAAATGTGTGAAAATCATTTTTTTAAAATCTAAATATTAAAAACAACCGAGTAATGCAATATCGCTTTTATCGAGTCGAGTACGATCGTGTAACTACTTTTCAGCTTTTCAGTTATATTGACACAAGTGTCAAAACGAAGATCTAAAATGTGTACAGTATTGTTGAACATATGTTTATTTCGTGTCTGTAAGAATATATACATAGTCACAGAGGCTCGATATAGGTAAATTCCTAGCAAAGGAATCTCTCGAAAGTTTAGATATTCTTTAAAAAAACGCGTATACTCGATTGTATCAAAGTATATTTTTACAATGAGTTTAAGAGATAATAGTTAAACCAGCAGTATTTCTCTCGGCAGAGCTTATTTATTGAATACAAACTTCGCCATTTCATATATATAAGCATCTTGATATCGTTGCGACATACATTGAATTTTATGTTTGTTATCACGATGAATTTTTACTCTCGTAACACGCTATCATTTTTCCGATATAAAATTACGTACAATATGTCGCACTTGCACCGATACCATTTTCCAAGCTAATTTTGTATTGCAAATTTTTATGAATGAATTACAGATCACTCATAGACAAATTGCATGTATAAATTATTGAAATATGTAAAATAGAATATCACATCTATGTGTATATGATTTATCTTATTTTTTAGTCTAGTATAAATATTTTTAGATAAATAAGATAAGTTAAATAAATATTTAAAAAAAATTAATTAAATATTTTGATAAATTCAATATCTCTGATATAATATATTTACATAGCAAAAATATTACACTGAAATAAAATAAATCATATATACATCGATATTATATGAAGAAACAATAAAAAAATTAATTTGACTTACATTTCTACATGCTACTAAGCATCCAGCAATATTCAGAGCTTGTTGGAAAATGAACCCATGAATAGTAATTGCACAAAAAGATAACAATAGCATCAACAACATTCCGTCAACTCTGATAGAAGATGTACGCATTATCCATTCAAGATTCACTGAATGAAAAATACTTGGATTTATGAGATAAAGATAGTAATTTATACTCTCTATTTCTTCACTTCGCTTATTATTTTCTTCATTTTCAATTGATTACAGACAAGCTGCATAACTTATTAGATCGAATAAATTCACATTCAAAAATAAACATAAATATGTGAAATAAGCACTTTTATAGGGTATATTATTATTTCACAAGATTGCATCCAAAATATATGCTTAATCTTTAAAACATGCACATTTAATGATAAAGTCGTGTTACATTTCAATATATAAATGGCACATATTCAAGCTAAATGACATTCCCCGCGATTAATGCGAAACTAAAGTGCCCGCGAAGCTTACGAACGTGACACAAATGAATCCACATTTGAAGAAGCTCGAGTGTTGTTTTAACGCGTATTACGACAGTCCCCTACCACGACTTACGACTACACCTTGTATGTTAATAAAAGGTGGGATTTACTCCCACTTTTCCTCTCCTCTTCTACATATATTGTATTGTTGTTCGTCATTTTTAGGAAAAAAAAAATGTACAAGTTTAACTTGTATAATTAATGTAGCATTTTTAATTTAATAAATTAGAAAATCTATATTTCCATACACAAGAAGAGATGTACAAAATTTTTCTCCGCATCAAGTATGGTAAATTATTTAAAGTTTGGATCGCGCGCGTATTACATGCTAAGCAAAAGCCTGCAACTGTACTTCAATTCTCTTTATGCATTCAACCTGAAATATGATAATTTAATGACATGAAAAATGTATTCAAAGTATATTGTGAAGTAATAATTAAAACTGATTGATGAATGTACATTGTTGTTTACAAGATCTAATATATATTCGTTGAACGGAAACCTCTGAAAAAATTGACTATATTCGCATAACATTGTTTTTGATGAATATTTTTTATCTCTTTTTGCCTATTTTAAAAGTAAAATTCACATGAAAGGGAAAATACGATAAAATAAAGGAAAACATAGAATTTATTTTCTAGAAGTTCAAATATATGAAAAAAGATTGCACAATTTTGTATCTATCATATGTGTATGATACGTAATGTCCTAATATTTTAAAGTGGTAAAATAACATGTTTATTGAACATTATGATTAACATGGAAGAAACATACATGTTGTCAATCCAATAACATAGGTTATGTTACATTAAGTAAGCCTTGAATGACAATTCTCTGTTTCTTTCCACTTATTTCGAATAATTGGCATTTATGTAGTGGAAGAGAAATACTAAGAAAAATAGCGCAACTCCCAGGATGTTGCAGAATACGGCTAATTGTACGTCCGTGATCATCTGGAAAAGCATATAGTTCGATGACGTTTAAACCAGAGATTTGATATCGTCATAATAATATATTTCAACATTTTACATCAAATAATACACTTTTATAAAACGTGTAAATTTATATATACTAGATATAATTACCTTGACGTTGTGCGAGATTATCGCTTTATTATTTCCAAAAGTTTATACAGTGACAGATAACCTCTACAACAGATAGAAACCTGAGAGGAGCCACGCCGCCGTTTTTCGAAAGACGCTTTTTTTAGCTAATGCATTAGCGCCAACTGGATCCATTTTAGAGCCGGCGGAATTACATGGCCAGATTCACTTTTCCGTGCCACGGTAAAACGGCCGATTGGTGCGTGTCCGTGCTAAATCCATAATTGTGGATCAAAAATGCGAAAAAATATTATATAAATTTATTAATGTTTATTAGTTGCGCGTGATGTTTTGTCATTCTAATATATACTACAGCCAGCGATAATAAGTTATTATTAAAATATTTTTATGTACATATATACACGCATATGAAATAAAAAATAAATTTTCTTCGATCAATTTTCTTAATAATTTTTTTCCTAATTTTTAAATATAACGTGTAGAAGATATTTACAATATATTGCTTTCACTTTTTTCTTATTCTTAAAACAAAATTATCAAGCATTTTAAGCAATATCAAGTTATGCTTTTAATTTATAACTTTTTTTATAATTTATTAATTTATTATTAATTATATTATTAAATTAATTTTTAAATTTATAAATTTAGTTGGATGCATTAGTGCGCACCGATGATGAACATATTAAATACGATTATATACAAATTTATATAAACATAAA